GAAGTCGAGCACTGATTTCAACAGCTTCATAGCTGTTGAAACAAAGTTTTTCGGGTCAACTTCTCCTCAACCCCTTGTGCGAGCTGGTCGAAGTCGAGCACTGATTTCAACAGCTTCATAGCTTTTGAAACAAAGTTTTTCGGGTCGACTTCTCCCAACCCGTTGTGCGAGCTGGTCGAAGTCGAGCCTAGTTAGTAGTTGTATTTACGAATTTAGGGATAAAGTAATATCATTGGAGCATTACACTTATGATTGTGTGATTGGTGTCAGCTTGTGCCGCGTGGAGGGCGAAGTAGCTCAGCCCACCAGTTCGAAAGCTTCGTAACTGTGTCGAGATTCTTACTCGAGGCATACAACTTCGTAGTTGTTTGAATCGACTTCATAGTCGTAGGCTTCGCAGCCTTGCCGAGATTCCACTCGAGGCATACAACTTCGTCGCTGTTTGAATCGACTTCATAGTCGTAGGCTTCGTAGCCTTGCCGAGATTCCACTCGAGGCATGCAACTTCGTAGTTGTTTGAATCGACTTCATAGTCGTAGGATTCGTAGCCTTGCCGAGATTCCACTCGAGGCATACAACTTTGTAGTTGTTTGAATCGACTTCATAGTCGTAGGCTTCGTAGCCTTGCCGAGATTCCACTCGAGGCATACAACTTCGTAGTTGTTTGAATCGACTTCATAGTCGTAGGCTTCGTAGCCTTGCCGAGATTCCACTCGAGGCAGACAACTTCGTAGTTGTTTGAATCGACTTCATAGTCGTAGGCTTCGTAGCCTTGCCGAGATTCCACTCGAGGCATACAACTTTGTAGTTATTTGAATCGACTTCATAGTTGTCATGATTAATCGGCTATATAGCCGTTTCGAAAAATTCAGTTTATCCAACAATTATGTAAGAAAACAAATAAATATAGAGACACCTTCGAAGAGTACATTCAAAATCCATTTCATTACTGAATATGATTTGATCGTGGTTCAGTACAAAAGGAAAATTCGAGAACATTACTTAAGCATAAAAACGTTTGAGATGGGTAATATGCCAAGATCGTGGCAGCTGTCGTCCTTCTATGTCTTCGAGTTCATACGCACCTCTCTCGAGAACCTTGGTGACTGTGTATGGCCCTTCCCAGTTTGCTTCTAGCTTCCCGACATGCTTCAGGGCATCGGCCCTCTTTAGTACGAGGTCTCCTCTTTGAAATCGCATGGTTCGCACTTTCTTATCAAAGGCTGCACGCATCTTTTGTTTATACTCCACAGATCGTAACCAAGCCTCCTCGCGTGCTTCCTCTATCATGTCGAGGGCTTCTTCCCTTAACTTATCGTTGCTTTCTTCTTCGTAGAACATTGACCTGTGCGAATCTAAACCAACCTCGATAGGCAATAAAGCATCCGTCCCATACACCATATGAAAAGGTGATTGCCCTGTCGAACTCCTCGGGGTCGTCCTATAGGCCCATAAGACGCTTGCTAGCTCATCGACCCAAGCGCAAGATGCTTTCTCCAGTCTCTTCTTTAATCCCTGTAGGATGGTTCTGTTTGTCACTTCGACTTGTCCGTTCGCTTGCGGGTGCGCGACGGAAGCGAACCGCTGCTTAATCCCCATGTCGAGGCACCATGTTTGGATCCGCTTTCCCTGGAATTGTGTTCCGTTATCTGAGATTAAGACCTTTGGTATCCCGAATCGACAGCAGATATTTTTGAACAAGAACTGTATCATTTTGTCTTCGGTAATCTTGGCCAGAGGTTCCGCCTCCACCCATTTGCTGAAGTAGTCGACAGCGACTACCATGAACTTCCTTTGACCTGTTCGCATCGGCAGTGGTCCTACCAAGTCGATTCCCCATTGGGCGAAGGGGATTGGACAATTGATAGTCGTCATTGCCTCGGCTAGAATATGGGGAATCTGACCATGGCGCTGACATCGGTCGCATCCTTGTACCAGCTGTTCGGCCGCTTTCCGTATTCTAGGCCAGTAATAGCCCGCTCGAAGAGCTTTGCCTGCTAGAGCTCGCGATCCTACATGCGACCCGCAACATCCTTCGTGGATCTCTCTCAAGACATGATCCCCTTCTTCTTCAGAAACACATCGCAGGTGGGGCCCAATCACTGATTTCTTATACAAGACTCCTTCGATTTCAAAGTATTTACTCAAATATCGGGTTGTCTTCTCTACCTCCTGTTTGTCTCCTTCCTGTACTCGACCTTGCAATAGTTCACGAATTGCTTTTCTCCAATCTTGCTTCTCCTCGACCTCCATTGTTTCCTTTAGAGCGCTCCCTTCCAAATGCAGGGTGGTGATTTGATTTCCTATCTTTCCTTCATTTGAACTTGCGATCCTCGCGAGCCAATCGGCTCGCTTGTTTTCTTCTCGAGGTATTTGTGTTAGCTCGAATTTTGCCAAATCTTGCACCAAACTCTGGATCTCTTCGACATATTTCAACATTCGATCCTCCTTAATTTCGCAGTTTCCCAACACTTGCCCCACGACAAGCTGTGAGTCGGAATGTGCCACGATCTTCGTTGCCCCGCCTCCGATCGTCAGTTGAATCCCCTTGATCAAGGCTTCATATTCTGCTTCGTTATTTGAGGCTTTAAATCCCATTCTGATGGCGAAGTCAAGTTGCTCACCTTCGGGGGATACTAGGACGACTCCAATACTAGATCCTTTGGCTGCCGAGGACCCATCGACGTTCATTATCCACTTCTTGCTCTCTCCCTTGGTCCCCTCTTGGATAAAGTCTGCCAGAGATTGAGCTTTGATAGCTCTTCGTGGTTCATATTTGATTGAATATTCACTTAACTCGACCGCCCATTTTACGAGTCGGCCCGACACCGTAGGTCGACCCAAGGTTTCCCCAAGCTGGAAATTTGTTCGCACGATTATCACGTGATTCAAGAAGTAAGGCCGCAACTTTCTAGCTGTGATTACCAAGGTGAGGGCAGCTTTCTCGACTTCAGTATACCTCGTCTCGGCACCCTGTAGTACCCGACTTGTGTAATAGATTGGTTGTTGTACACCTTCGACCTCTCGTATTAACACCGAGCTTAACGAAAATGTTCCCACCGAGATGTAGAGTATCAGTTCGTCGCCTGATTCTGGTTTTGTCAATAATGGCAGCTCGCTCAAAAATTCCTTCAGCTTCTCGAATGCCATTTGGGCCTCGTCATTCCATTGGAAAGCCTTTTTCTTTAGTAATTTAAAAAATGGGAAACTTCTTTCAGCAGCTCGAGCAATGAACCTGCTTAGACCAGCGATTCGCCCTGTAAGGACTTGGACCTCCCTGACACTCTTAGGTGGGGCCATGTCGAGGATAGCCTGTACTTTATCCTGGTTCACCTCAATGCCTTTCTCGGTTACGACATAACCCAAGAATCGTCCTGCTCTCACTCCGAAGGCACATTTGCCCGGGTTCAACTTCATCCCAAACGCCCTTAGTGTGTTGAGTGTTTCTCTTAGGTCCTCTACATGCGAAGTCGAGGACTTACTTTTCACCAGAATATCATCTACATACACCTCCACATTTCGCCCAATCTGTGATTTAAACATTCTATCCATTAACCTTTGGTATGTTGCCCCTGCATTTTTGAGTCCAAAGGGCATGATGATATAGCAATACGTCCCCCTGCTTGTGACGAAGCTAACTTTACTCTAGTCCTCGGGGGCTAGTGGAATTTGGTGATATCCTTGGGACGCATCCATCATGCTCAATAGTTCGCAACCAGCCGTTGAGTCGACTAGCTGATCAATCCTTGGCAGAGGATAATGATCCTTGGGGCATGCCAGGTTTAAATCCCGAAAGTCGATGCACATCCGCCATTTGTCCAACGCCTTTCTTACCATTACGGTATTGGAGATCCACTCAGGAAACTGGATTTCCTTAATGTGCTTAGCTTTCAATAATTTGTCGACTTCGACTCCGATCGCTTTGTCTATCTCAGCTCCATGGTGTCTCAATCGTTGCTTGACAAGTTTCTTCAGGGGGTCGACATTGAGCTTATGCTGTATGGTCTCTGGATCGATTCCCGTCAGTTCCTCGGGCGAAAAAGCAAACACGTCCCTGAACTCCTTTAACAATTCCACCAACTGCCTCTTTAGCTCTTTCTCCAATTCTCCTCATATCTTGGTGGTTTGGTCCTCCCTTTCCCCGATTTGTATTTCCATTAGCTCCCCATGCGGCTTGAGGTCACTTCCCCTCGGCCTTTTCTCGCCCGGTGCTGGCTTTTTTCCTTCTCTTACTTCCGTTTTCTGGCTTGTCTTTATAGCTATTTGATAACAGGCTCTGGATAATTTCTGATCTCCTCGTGCTTCTCCTACCCGATCGCCAACTGGGAATTTCAGTTTCATGTGGTAAGTCGACACTACAGCCTGAAAGGCATTCAACGTCGGTCTTCCGAGAATCACATTATAGGCTGATTCGACGTCGACCACCACGAACCTTATCATCTTCACCTTTCGCAAATCCCCTTCTCCCAAAACGACAGCGTGTGTGGCCTCTCCCAAAGGCGCGACCTCCGAGCCGTTGAAACCGAAAAGCGATGTATGCAGGGGTGATAATTCAATGTCGAGGTCCATCCTTTTGAGGCAATCGTAAAAGATTACATTGACCGAGCTCCCCGTGTCGACAAAGATCCTCTGCACCTCATATCCCGACACTTGGGCGGTTATCATCAAGGCGTCATTGTGAGGCCTCTCGACTTTCCCCACGTCTGCTGGCCCAAAGTTCATCACTGGCCCTCCCTCATCGACTTGGTGGACCTCGACATTAGCATGCTTCCTCGAGAATATGCTTTCCTTGCTCGGTTGGAGTCTCCATCAGTTGGTCCTCCGAAAATCATGTGGATCACTCCCCTTTTCATAGGAAGCTCATCCTTCTCTGGTGATCTTGTCCTCTTGCGAAGACTTTTACTCCTTTCTTTCCTTCGATTTGTCCTCTCTCGATCCTTGTATATGAATTCTTTTAAGTGACCGGCCTTTATCAACCTCTCTAGTTCGTCTTTCAGGTGCCTGCAATCATCAGTGTTATGCCCGTAATCTTTGTGGAATCGACAGTATAAGTTGCTCTTAGGCCGCGTCGGTCCATCATTCCTCGTCTTGGGCCACCTCACTACATTGTCACGAATCTCCCTCTCCATGACTTCCAAGATCCTAGCTTGCGGGACCGCCAGAGGGGTATACTGAGTCAGCCTCCAGCTTCTAGGTCGTCCGTCCTTTTCCGCTCGCGGGGATCCCTTTGTCTCCCCGGTCGAGGAACCCCTCTTCTCTCTCCTTTCGTCACGGGGATCTGTTTTGGTTACTTTGACTGCTCGCGAGAAATCGGCTTCTGCCTCTTCGACATTCATATATTTTGCGCACCTCCCCAATACTTCGTCAAACGTCTTACCCGGGCGCTTGGCAAGGGAATTCCTGCACAATCCTGGCAACAGCCCTCGAGTTAATCCTCCCGCTTTTATTTCCTCCGATGCTCTGGGCACTTCAACACACGCTCGCATAAACCTCGCTACATAATCTCGCAGCGACTCCCCTTCTTTTTGTTGTATGCCCATTAGAGTCAGATATGATTTTTCCTGTGGCCTAACACTCGCGAACTGGTTAAGGAAACTCGAGCTGAACCCCTCGAAGTCCTTGATGGCTCCTACCGGTAATTGGTGAAACCAGTCCTGGGCAGATCCTCGCAATGTCGTCAGGAAAGCTCGACACTGCACCGGATCGTTGTAACGGTGGAGCACTGCCATATTCTCGAAGCTCCTCATGTGTCGAGATGGGTCGGTCGATCCATCGTAGCTTATGTTTAAGTCATGAAAACCTTGGGGAAGGTCAGCGTCGAGGATGTGTTGAGAGAACGGGTGTCCCCTCGAGCCACTAGTTTTCCTTCCTTCAACCCGGGCTTGCAGATCCCGCACTTGGGCCAATAGTTGCTCCAACGTCTCATCCCTCGCTTGAGGGTTAACTGTCCTGACCGAAGAAGCTTCCTTGTCCACTCTCCGGATTGGCCTCTCGTTAGACTGGGCCGGCTGCTCGCGCTCGACAATGGGTTGCTCAACCCTCAATGGTTCGACTCTATTCTGCTCGACCTGGGGCTGCCCAGTTTGAGCCTGCTTCAGTTGGGCTAGTCACCGCTTATGCTATCATTTTCTGCATCTCACCTCTCGTCACTGTTATGGTCTGCTCCTCAGCTTGTGATCGGACGAGCGCCTGTTCTGGCCCTTCCTGGATTTGTTTCCCTGCCCCCCGAGACATGTCGGTGGGTTCCGTATTGAGATTTTGACTCACCCCTGCAGATGCCAACACCGGCACCTTCACTCTGGGCGGAGTAACAGGCGTTTCTCCGCCCAGATCTACTCCTGGAGGGGGCGGTCCTCCAAATGGTGGTAGGCCTAGCACTTGCATCAGTGGAGGTCTAGGAGCCGACTGCGATGGCGGCCTCCTATCCGTCCAAGCTCCCCTGAACTCTTCGTTCAGATTCCTCTGCAAACCCTCCTTCTCGGCCATCGTAGACAGATCAGAGCTAGGTGTGAAGCCCTTAGTTCCTTCAAGAGCGTCCCACAGACGGCGCCAAAATTATGGGTCTCCTCCTAGATCTGGAGTGAACCGGATGGGATGAGCTCGTATCTGTCTGGATTGCCTTCAAACCGCCTTTAGACTGCGAGAATACCTGCACAAAACTCAACGCCGGAGGTGTTTCCGGCGAAGAGCCTCCGACGCTCAAGTAAGTATGAGAGAGAGAAGATAGGACTGCCCTGAGAGCAGCAGCCAGAAAAGAGATGTAGAATGGAATGGAAAGTTAGGGTTTTAGGGCTACCTCTTCTCCTATATATAGGAGGGTACATTTACCTCGGATGCCCAAAATACCCCAAGTCGGTGGACCTGAAATGTCCAGATTGCCCTGGTCGGTTCATCTTCCCTCCTTGCTGAGTCACCTTCCATATTTCCTCTTATCCGCTAGAGTAGGAGCATATTTATGGAAAGCCCTGGATACTAAGGCTTGGAGGTCGTCCGTACATTAGGTAGCTCGTGGGAAGTCGAGGTCGACTTCCCACTTACCAAGTTATACCTCATTTCGTAGTCGATTTCCCCAAGTCGACTTATGCGCACTCGTCCTCGTCTCCATGACATACGATGGTATGTTCTCTCCTCGAGTCGACTTCCCTGAACTCGGTTCAAATGCTTTGATGAGCCGACATCGGTATGCTATTGGTTCCATTCTCAGAGTCGAGTAGAGCTTTTGAGCCGGATGACCTATATTATGGCTATATCACCAACGAACACTCGTGCTTCCGAACGTTTTTCCAACTTGTCAGCTTCCTGCACTAACATGTGTGCAGGGCTACCGCATATTCGAAACTGTGAGGAACTGGGCTTTTGCCCTTTCCACATCTCATAAAGAGTAGTCTCAACTGACTTTGAAGGAACCATGTTCAGAATATACACTGTCATTTCCAGCGCCAATCCTCAGAACGAATCTGGTAACTTTGAATAACTCATCATTGACCTAACCTTTTCCATAATAGTCCTATATCTTCTCTCTGCAACCTGTTCTGCTGGGGCATGCCGAGTGCAGTCAATTAAGATTCAATCTCAGCTTCTGATAAGTATGTCCTGAACTCTCCAAAGAGGTATTCGCCACATCGATCAGATCGAAGTGACTTGAAACTTTTACCATGAAGCTTATCCACTACTTCCCGATACTCCTTGAATTTCTCAAAGCATTCAAACTTGCGGTGCAATAGATAAATATACCCAAATCTCGAGTAACCATCAATAAAAGAGACAAAGTACTCGAAACCTCCTCTAGCTTGGATTGACATAGGACCACATAAATCAGAATGAATCAATCATATCACTTCTTGGCTCCTATACACCTTTTCCGTAAACGGCCTCTTGGCCATATTTTCTTCCAGGCACGATTCACAAGTTGGATAGTGCTCTTACAATGGACCTAGGAGTCCACTAGTTACTAACTTTTGAATCCTTCTAAGGTTGATGTGCCCAAGTCTAAGGTGCCAAAGATATGCTTGATTCATACTCGAAGATTCCTTCCTCTTATTAGATTTAGTAATGACATTATTCAATTCAGTTTGTTGCAGTGTGGGAGAGTTTGGTTTAAAAACATATAAATTGCCAACTAATGAACTAGAACATATGAAACATTTTCTATAACGAATAATAAGCATATCATCAAACGTAAATGAAAAACTATCCATAACGAGTTTAGAAACTGAAATAAGATTCATTATAAAGCAAGGAACATAAAGGCAATGTCTCAAAACCAAACTACTACTATCAAAAGATAAAGTATCGTCTCCCACTTCAACAGCTGCCACTTTCGTAGTATTGCCCATGTAGACGGTGATCTCTCCCTCCCTAAGCCGTCTGGTTTCCTGGAATCCCTGCAAAGACTTGCATACATGATCATTGGATCCAGTATCTACACACCAGGTTCTGGTAGATACAACCACTAAGCATGTTTCTATGACATTAACGAAAGAGTTACCTTTCTTGAGGAGAGGGCATTTGACCTTCCAGTGTCTTGACTTGTTGCACTTGTGGCATCTACCTTTCGGCTTCTTTGCCACAACCTGAGGGGGCGGTCGCTGGACCATGGGGCATCCTACACCTTTGCCTTTCCTGCAGACTTCTTTCTCTTCCTGCTCTTATGAGGCCTGGAAGGTCCAGCCTGCTCGACAACTAGTGTGTGAGGCGCCTGAGTGAATAGGGCCTCCGCCGATTGAAGCTCTGCAAGCAGTTCTGAAAGAGCCATATGAATCTTGTGCATGTTGTAGTTCAATCGGAACTGATCAAAGCTCTTCAGCACAGATTGGAGCATGATAACAACCTGAGTTTCCCCGTTGATAAAACCTCCCATAACCTCAAGCTCATTGAGTAGCGCCATAACCCTGAGGGCATGCTCCCTTACGGGTGTGCCCCTCGGCCATACACATAGTCTCAGAGCACTCATAGCCTCCTGCCTAGTAGCCCTAGACTGGTGTCCGAACAAATTCCTGAGATTGAGGAGCATATCTGTTGCAGTGTTCATAGACTGATGCTGATGTTGAAGAACATTTGACATATATGCCAGAATGTAACACTTCGTCATCTCATCAGCCTTTTTCCACCGAGCATACTCCTCTTTCTCCTGATCAGGAGCATCAGCCACGAGCTCTGTCAGGCAAGCCTCAGTGATCGCATACTTATAATCCTCAGCAGTCAACACAATGTCTAAGTTCCTTTTCAAATCAGTATAATTAGGGCCAGTAAGTTGATTTTCTTTTAGAACGACAGATAACGGATTGAATGACATGATGAATATAGCCTGAGAAACACGAAAATAATTTTACAGATTAAACACCTTTTAAATTTAACTGTGAACATTGACATTTTCAAAACAATATTAACTTAAATTCACCCACATCTCAAAATACCGAGAGTTAATGCATGATACGAGGGTAACCCTACATAACTCGACATTCGCAAGAGAAGGGCTTTCAAAGGCCCTTTAATTACCATAAGTCAGAACCAAATTCATGACGAACGAAATTAATAGTCGGTCTTCATTTGGCCATGTAATAAATTCAGGGACCCCGAGGGGAGTTATAAATAAATCTCATTCTAAGTAAATCTAATTTCTCGATCATAAGTTCATACGAATTTGATTATACGTCATCCGAGAGGAAGCCCATACTCTCTCATAAGAATGCCTCTAATCGTCTAATTAGAAATTCGTCCTGGTAATTACCTACAATTAATTTTAGTGATGTTACCCGAGGGGGAGCCCATACCGCAATTAATTGATTTACCGACAAATTAGAAATGGAGGCCTTAGGAATTTTACAATTAACTGTATTAAAATCCCTTCTCAAACTTAGTATAATTTAAATGGCAATTTTTACATATTTAAATATTTATGCAATTCTATCATATGTAAATGAAATAATTAATTAACATTCATAAATAAATATGCAATTCCAAATAAATCTCATGCAAATACAATAATTAAATAACATGCATAAATAAATAAATAATTAATGGCATAATGAATTTAAATAAATAAATCCACTATTATGGCCATTAAATATTGAGCTCCCATAAACAAGGAAACATTGTATATTCTTTCTATGTTCAACTGGAACTCCAACTGCAGTAGAATCCTGGTTGATATTGTACTGCTTGCCCACCAAGTAAAAAACACCTCGTCTCCTTGCAGCCGTCGGTCGTCGCTATCAGCCGCCGCCGATCACCGGTGAAAAATCCAGCGGCCGAAATAATTTTTTTCTTTTTGATTTCCGTGCGCGAGTTTCCGGGCTCCAGTCCAGTTGGTTTTTCGAGGCTCGTTGATCTCTTGTGGTCTCCCGACAATTAATCCACGATCACAACACAAAAAATATTATTTACAAAATTACATAATCCGATCTTAGATCCAACAAATGGATGTACATGTTTTTCTAAACAAATACTTAAATCTATCCGGTCAACCCCCAGGCGAATAATTATTACAAACATTCATCCATCAAATTCCTCGGCATATCCGAGGATTTAAAAACAAATTTAAAACCATACATCACATTCATCGACATTCATCAAACACATAGTCGGCCATAATAATAGATTAAACTAATTCCTGCAAAACCGAGTTATACGAATATAATCCAATATATGGCTGCGTTTGAACACATCTTGACAAATGAAGCTGTAAAAACTTGAACTTGTACAAAATGAATTAAACCAAGTGCTCTGATACCACTTGTTGGAATCTATGAGGATGTCGTTATGTACAAATCACGAATTCAATGGCAAACGTAAACCTATGCGCAACGGATCTAAAAGTTTGCGTAGAAATCTTATGGCTTAAAATTTATGGCGATTTGGCTGATCTTCCGGATGGCCATACACACGAACTGGAATGGATCACGAATGAATTGTAGGGCTCAATCGGATCGAGTCGTGTGGACGTGCAGGTCCCGGGCGGAG